ATTAATTGTGGTATCCTTAGCCCTCCCTTTATGCTCTGACCATATTTAACACTGCTTATGAACCTTAGCTTTTCCCCCTTTCCACCAATAAACCTTTCCAGGTTTTTTTTGCCATAATTTAATTTTTTAAATTTCAGGTTGTAGTGGTATATTTTGAAATAAAAATAAACATTTTGGTTATATATGTGCTTTAACTAATGCTATTCTCCCTAGCAATGATATATTCAATTCAGTCCAACTTCTGATTTTTTCTTTTACTGATCTGAATAATTTTTTGTAATTTCTATTTAATAACTGGTTTATACTTTTTGTTATCCAAATTCCCAAATATTTGAAACTTGAATAGCATAAATCCAGATTTGACTTCTTTTTTAATTTCCCTTTGTTCTGCTATAGAGATATTTATACATAACAATTTGGATTTTTGATAGTTGATTTTTAGTCCCATATCATAACAATGTTCTTATAATATTTGTTTTAGTGATTCTATGCTTTTTATTGGATTCTCCAGAAATAGAAGCATGTAATCTGTGTAAAAGTTTATTTTATGTTTTCTATTTTTAAACACCAAGCCTTTCATATTTTCATTTTCTCTTATTTGTGCAAGGTGGTTCTATTGCTTTTGCAAATTTAATTTGAGATAATGAGTCTCCTTGTCTCTTTCCTTTAAATAGAGTAAATTTATCTGATTCTATTCCGTTAATGAGTGTTTTAGCCTCCGCCTCTATATATAGATTCTTTAAGACATTAATACATTTTTGCCCACATTTATTTTTTCTAATAATTCAAACATATAATGCCATTCTACATGATCAAAGGCCTTAAGCGTGTCTGAGAGTATTGCTAATTTCTGTTCTTCTTTATTTGCTATATTTATGACATTCAGAACTCTGCGGATGGCATCCTGCATCTGCCTTCCTGGCATAAACCCATGTTGAATGTATTTAGTGAGAAAACTATTAATTCTCTGTGCCAACATTGAGGAAAAAATCTTTTTGTCTTGGTTTTGTAATGTTACTGATGAGGGGAGTACTGGGTCCTTTTCTGGTTTTAATATAGTTATTATCCTAGCTGTTCTCCATGATTTTGTTATTTTTTCACCTTCCAGTATTAAATTAAACAATTTTAACAAATCCTCTATCATGTTATCTTCCCAAAAATATAATGCCATTCTACATGATCAAAGGCCTTAAGTGTGTCTGAGAGTATTGCTAATTTCTCTTCTTCTTGCTATATTTATGACATTCAGAACTCTGCGGATGGCATCCTGCATCTGCCTTCCTGGCATAAACCCATGTTGAATGTATTTAGTGAGAAAACTATTAATTCTCTGTGCCAATATTGAGGAAAAAATCTTTTTGTCTTGGTTTTGTAATGTTACTGATGAGGGGAGTACTGGGTCCTTTTCTGGTTTTAATATAGTTATTATCCTAGCTGTTCTCCATGATTTTGTTATTTTTTCACCTTCCAGTATTAAATTAAACAATTTTAACAAATCCTCTATCATGTTATCTTCCCAAAATTTATAAAATTCTCCTGTAAACCCATCACAACCTGATGATTTACCCTTTTTAATTTTTTTAATAACTGATTTTATTTCCATTATTGTTGTTGTTGAATTCAGTAGTTCTTATGATTTACTATAATTTAGACATTTCTTAATATGGTATTTGTATCTGGTGTTAATTCTGGCTCATACTCCATAAATGTTGTTACTATTTGTTATTGTGAAGTTATTATTGTTTCTTCCTTTTTATTTGACAGAGACAGTTGCCGTCTTTATTGCTTTATTTTTACTACATATGATAACAGAACTCTTATTCCCATGCTCATAACAATTTCTCTTTAGATAATTCATAGCTGCCTGGGTCTTACTTGTTTCTGGTGCCTCTAATTCAGTTCTGGCTCTTGTTAGTTCATTACAAACCTTGTTTGATCCAGATTTGTTATGCTGCTCACCCATCACATCACAACCTGATGATTTACCCTTTTTAATTTTTTTAATAACTGATTTTATTTCCATTATTGTTGTTGTTGAATTCAGTAGTTCTTATGATTTACTATAATTTAGACATTTCTTAATATGGTATTTGTATCTGGTGTTAATTCTGGCTCATACTCCATAAATGTTGTTACTATTTGTTATTGTGAAGTTATTATTGTTTCTTCCTTTTTATTTGACAGAGACAGTTGCCGTCTTTATTGCTTTATTTTTACTACATATGATAACAGAACTCTTATTCCCATGCTCATAACAATTTCTCTTTAGATAATTCATAGCTGCCTGGGTCTTACTTGTTTCTGGTGCCTCTAATTCAGTTCTGGCTCTTGTTAGTTCATTACAAACCTTGTTTGATCCAGATTTGTTATGCTGCTCTATTAGATTTTTTATTTTATTTTCCACTTTTTCTTGTAAACTATTCCTTTTTCTAATCTAGAACTTTCCATAATAAACTCTCCTCGTAAGACTTCTTTTAGAGTATCCGACAATAATGCAGGTTTCATTCCTTCTTTATCATTTGTTTCATAAAACATCTTTATATTTTCCTTTATTTTTCTAATAATTTCTGTATTTAAACATATATTAGAACTTAATTTTCAGATTCTAGGGGTTTTTTGTACTTCTTTATTTTTGAACTTCTATTGGTGCATGATCAGAGGTCATGATAGGAGCAAACTGTATAGTCACTATATGGGATACCAAATTTTCTAAAATAAAAATATGATCTAGTCTTGAATACGTGGCATATTTTTTTGAAAAGAATGTATAATCTTTCATTTTACAATTTAAATATCTCCATCCATCTATGGATGGACGTGGTGGCGCTGCGGATTAAACTGCAGAAGCCTCTGTGCTGCAAGGTCAGAAGATCAAGCAGTCGTAAGATCGAATCCATGCGATGGAGTGAGCTCCCATTGCTTGTCCCAGCTCCTGCCGACCTAGCAGTTTGAAAGCATGTAAATGCGAGTAGATAAATAGGTACCACCTTGGTGGGAAGGTAACGGCATTCTGGGTCTAGTCGTGCTGGCCATGTGACCACGGAAACTCTTCGGACAAAACGCTTTATTGCTTGGAAATGGAGATGAGCACTGCGCTCTGGAGTTGGACACGACTGGACTAAATGTCAAGGGCAACCTTTATCTTTACTTTATCCATCTATTAAGCCAACTTTTTAAACTAATTTTCCTATTTTTATTCTATCCCTTGACACCTTTCTTTCTTTTTTTTTGATGTTGTATCCAACTTTTATCTTAAAATGCAATTTGTATCCCCTCCCAAAATAATAACACCCCATGCAAAAAAATTTTTCCTCCCTCAACAGTTTTTGCATACATTTTGCTTGCCCTATATTAGGGGCATAATAAGAACCTAAAATCAGCAATTTATTTTCTAACTTTTCTTTCAGTAGAATATATCTTTCCTCATGATCTCGTAATTGGTCCGTCACTTCAAATTGTAAATTCTTCCTACGGATTATAGCCACTCCTCTCAATTTAGTTGTCCAATTTGCAATATACTGATCTCCTAGCATCGGGTGCTTAATGATACCTTTTTTTGCTTTTTTGATGTGTTTCCTGTAAAAACAACATCTACCCCACGTTTTTGAATAGTTTTCATAACTCTATACCTTTTAACTGTTGAGCCGTGACCATTTGTGTTACGTATAAGATAATATAGTGGTGCCTCGACATATGAACGTCCCATCCAGACTTACGACCATTTCGAGTTATGACCAGCTCCGTCCGCAAACTTTTGTTTCGACTTGTGGCCGGAGCTTTCAGTTACAAACACAAAAAAGGCAGGAAATTCAAATTGCTAACTGCCATACCAAATAATCGGTTTAAAAGGAAAACCCCATATATATTTAATTTTCCTCTCCTGTAGAATCCTTGTGTACTGTCACCATTGTTTACATCTCTCTACTGTCTCTGGTGCAAGATCCTGGTACAGTTCCACTTTTTGCTCTTCAAATGCCATTTTTTAATGTTATTCAAAGCATGGAATATGTCGGCTTTCACTGCATACGAAGCAAATCCCACAATTATATCTCTCTTTCTTGATTGTTATTTTGGTCCAATTCGATGGATACAGTCCACATTTCTATCTTTTATCTCTATGTTGGGGCAAAGTTCCCGAATCCAGTTCAAAACTATTTGTTTCAAGTCACTGTCCTTCTCACTCTCATTTTCTTTAAAAAAAAACTCAGATGAATGTTCTGATGTCTTTGTTTATTCTCTTGCTAAACCACTCTGTCCTTTAATTGCCCCATCTCTTTTTCCAACTCAGCATTTCTAGATTGTAGATTTTGTGCCAACTCGAAAGCAACGTCAGCAGTTTGTTCTACCTTACTGATGCTCGCTTTAACCTCCAAAAGGGTTTGTTTTAGGGGTGAGATAAGACTTTTCATATCATTCTGTAAGTCCTTAATTGTTTTATAAGCAGCTTCATCTCATCATTTGCTCCATTAGCTTTTTTCCGCCCCTTCCCTTTTTTCTTACCAGACGCCTCCATTTCACTCTCAGACTCCTCCGATGTCTCAGTCAGACCTCTTTTGTACTCTTCATCAGAGGTGGCTCGGCTTATTTTTTCCTGGCGTCTTCTTTGGCTTTCCCGTATCTATTCAATTCAAAGTGTTTTCTTTCTCAATTTACAAACTTTCACATATATTTCCTGGGCTTAAAACAGATTTGATCTTCTATGCTGCCATTTTCATCCGCAGCAAACCACACCCCCTGCTTATATTCTTAGGATGAGCCATTAGTCACTTTGCATTTGAACTCCTTTGAATGTTTGGATAGCTGTTTATAACATTCTTGCTATGAATTGATGGGGGGGAAACAGTGGTAGCATAGACCTTTCCCAAGCTTCCAGTGAATGGTTGGTATAAATATGACTTTAGCTTGTATTTTGGTATAGATACATCCCTACCAAATCATTTCAGGAAATATGCTGAAACATGATGGAAGATTTTCTGTCTGATGTATTAAAGCATGTACATATGTATTTGTCAATTAGATATCTGGATTGTGGTGTCTGGATAGCTCAATGGTTTGGGTATCTGGCTACAGTGCCAGAGGTTGGGACTTCAGTTTACTACTGTTCAGCCCAGACAGAGCAAACTGCACAGTCCCAAATGCTCCCAGAAAAGGGGAATGATAAACCACTTCTGGATATTCTCTGCCTAGAAAACCTGAACAGGGTCCATATAAGTTAGAATAGACTTGACAGCACATGATTCAAAGTATCCTGTTCCACTGCATACCATTAAGATGCAGTCCCCTTTGTAAAGTGCAGTTATTTTCCAACTGCTACTGCTAGTATCAGAAAAGAAAGATAAAACTGCTGTACATTTTCTTGATGGCAGGAAAGCTCCAGAGTACCACATCAGAGCCTACAAAACATCCAAGAGTGTCTTCAAGATCAGTTGGCAACAGTTATATGCGAAATAGACACCCAAGGGGCTTGTCTTTACCTGGAATATCCAACATTGAAGGTAATCCTGTATCTTTTTGTTAGTAGTAAATAATTTTTTCCCTGATGCTAAGAGAAATAACACTTCAGAGGCAGCTAGAACCAAAGAGAGCTGAGTTAATAGGGGATGGATTGTCTGCAGAGCATTCGCTTCCTAAACTTAAATGAGGGCTCCAGCAGGTGATTTTTCAAAGAACAAAGACAATCAGGAATTGATACTTCGGCATCCAGCTACCCAACACAGTAAACACAGCCCTTGAAGTTGTGCCTGTCTTTTGGACAATATAACTAGCATCTTGTGACGGGACTCTTTGGATTGAAACTGCAGAGGATAGCAGTTCCCATACCTTGCTCCTGACATATTGCTTCTTCACTCCTGAACTACTGTTTGGCATGTGGAGGGCTTCTGCCTATGCACAAAAGTAGCTTACATCAGTTTGATGCTTGTCTGGATAGGAGCATCATGGCACAGTGGTTAAATAGCTATACTGCAGTCAAAACTGTGCTCACGACATGGGATTCAATCCCAGGTAGCCAGCTCAAGGTTGACTCAGCCTTCTATCCTTCTGAGGTTGGTAAAATAAGTACCCAGCTTGCTGGGGCGGGGGGCAATGTGTAGCCTACATAATTAATTGTAAACTGCCCAGAGAGTGCTATGGGGTGGGATATAAGCCACCCACTTTCCACCTTCTTTCTTTCTTTTTTTCTTTTTTACTCCAGAACAAATAATCACTGGCTTCTGGTTCAGCCTGGCATGCGTTTTATTGACGTTTAGTCATAAACACTGCCATGTTTGTAAAGCTGCTTCAGGTCTCTTTGTTTTCATAAATTATTGATCTTTTATTTGTTTTATTGAGCTGAGAATGAATGTCTGTGTTCCATTCCTGTCTCCTCTATCCTTTCCTTGCATGAGGCACAAACATTTGTATTGTGCTTTGTTAGAATCAGTTACCCACTACATTTTAATCTCATTTTACTAACCAGGATATGAAACCAGATCCTGTTTCTGGATAGTAAGCTAAAATTAAATCACAGTATTACTCATGATTCAGATTTATCAGGATGCTGCAGCTTAAACAAGCCATGATAGAATACCACTACACAAGGAATTTGGGGTATTAAGGATATTACAAGAAGCCAGGATTCTTTAGAATGAGCCAGTGTGCTGATGCATGCAGCTTGTTCATTCCCACTTGGATCCTTATCTAATAAGATAATGGCATATGACTCTGGCTTGTTAAGGGAGAGACAGGTCAGAGTTCATGGTTTGCACATCATGCTAAACAAAGAAAGAATGGAGGGTTCATAATTTGTTTAGCTATTTGTGCTATTAGATTATGGAACTTGCATTGGAACTCCAGATTAATATGATGTGCATGTTGTGTTGCTTTGATAATAAGCTACTGTTGCGGATGTTGTGCTCAGATACAGGAACTCTGAGAACTGCACAGAATTCATATGTAGCCCTGCCTAGAGATACCTGATATGTCTGGTGGTCTTTCATTCAAGTAATAAAAAGGACTGACTCTCTGTATTTCCAAAATTGGATATGGTCAGTTGTGTTCAGTGTGGTATGGCAGCATGAATTTATTTATTTTTTCTTTAAACCATGTTTTCCTTATTGCAGACCTTCAGAATTTGTTCAGGGCTGCCAATCAAGGCACTGATGGCAAGCTGTCTTATGAAGACCTGCGAAATCTGGTTGGTTTTACATGGAATGATTCACAGAACTTCAAGGAATTTGACGCAGATGGGGATGAGAAGTATTCTCTCCCAGAACTGAGGACAGCACTTGGTGTATAGTATCCCTACCTAAATACAGTATTGAATGACTTACAGTAGCTACAACTATCACAACAAAAAACTTGATAAGTAAAAGCTACATTCAGCACTTTCCCCAGTGATGTACTAATCTTTGCAGCTAACATCGTGTACTTGTTGACACCTTTTAAATTTTGTGTTCTTTAGAAAATACTCAAAAGCTTTTATATTTTTATCTGTAACTTAAGAGATGTTGATTCCTGAAAAGATTTTCACCTCTGAATCTGAAATGCAGAGATAATTAGACACAATGAGGTCCTTTCGACCCAAACAAGGCAATTGGTTGCCAAAGATTTGCTGCATTCCTTTCCTTTCCATTTTCATAGAACTGAGGTGCATCTAATTTTCTCTGACTCAGAGCCAGAGGATGATACCCTGCCATCACGTTTCACAACTGTGGGGGTAATTATTCTTGCATTGAAATAATATATTCATAGCAGGATAGGGTAACTGCACCTTAAACTATGCTAAGAATTTAGCTCAATGTGTTATTTCCCTTATAAGGGAAGCGCTTGTTTTCAAATTAGAATATGTGTGTAAATATTGAGAAAAATTATTTTATATTTCAGATCTGCCTTAAATTAGCTGCACTTTAGAATAAAAACATAAAAGAATCTGACTTTGTGGGATAAGACTCATCTACTTGCAAATATTTAAAATAAAACTATCTGGGTCGTCTTTGCATAGTAATTAATAAATATTCAATATGCATTAGGGAATATTTGAGGCTGAGCAGGTATATCTTTTTTCTAGGAATTATCCTTCTACATAACATACTTTCAATAGTGGCCTGGGAAAATGCAGTTGTCAAATATTCAGAATATGAATTCTGGGGATGGACTGTAAAGAGGACTTCTACTCTTAATGCTTCTGATTTTTAAAAAATCAAATTTATATTATACTCTCAACATGTTATAGAAGTAATTAGTTATTTCCTTTAAAAATAATATAGATTTTGTCTGATGTTGTATTGTTAGAGAAAATAATAGTTGATAAAAAAACACTTCAATAAGCTAGATATTCTCTGCGGCATTTCTCCTTTATTTTGGCTCACTGAAAAAAATAAACTTCACCACCTTAATTGGGTATCTCACAGGATCAGAAGTAGTGTGACAGTCATTACTTTTATTCTAGTTTAGAGCTTCTTCCTTTATTTGTGTCAGGAACAAGTGAGGGGTGACCAAATTCCATGTTATGTGCATCTTTGCATTTGCACTTCGTAGTGTGATTTTTTTCCCCCTATGGCAGCTGTAGCAGTAGTCTTGGGACTTGTAATGTGCAGCCTGGCCATCATTTATACATTATTGACATGTTATGCTATTGTTTGTTTTTACCATTAGAAATTCTTGATATGTTAACCTACTGTATGTTTATGCCATTAGAAAAAACAGGCAGAGATGAATGTTGAGGCTTGAGTTTTTTTTTAAAGTAAATGTCAGTGTTTATTCTCTAGATATTGACTTGAGAACAAAATCCAACATGCTTTAAATATTGTGTCTCTAAATCTGAAGTGACATTAGCAGTTTTCAAGAACATTTTACAAAGCCATCAGCTTTCCCCTAGGTTTTAGTTTAATAAGTTAAATTTGTAATAAAGTCGCACCCAACAAAAGGGTGACCTTTTAGACCTTTGAATGTGATTGACATGGATCATGACAGCAGTTGCTGTCAGAATGCCAGCATGTCAGGAGTAAATAACTTGAAATAAATATAACAGACTCCTCCAAAAATATTTAATGAGAAGCCTTGAAAAACCATTTCCATCATAGGTTGCTTCAGGATTTTTCTCTTTTACTTGTTTCCTAACATGAGTATGTTGACTTTGTCCAGCAGTTAAAAGAGTTCAGACAAGTTTCTATCACTTTCATATACTTTCTGTATAAAATTATAGACCAAATAAAGCAATAAAATATACTAGTATTTATTTGTTCTAATATAATGATTGTATGCCAAAAATTTAAAGTATTTTTGGAAAGTTGGTTTGCTAGCATTAGTTTATATAGCAGAGAGCTCATGTCTAATCCTGCTGCTAACCTACTGACTTAAAGCACTTTCTGGTTTATTTTGAGACTTATTTCTACTGTAGAAACATTTAGTTGTCAAAAAAAGAAACATTTATTTTTAAAAACAGTGTGACTCATGGCTAATTCAGATGCTCAGCTACTGAGATTGTATTTCTGAAGCTTTACTGTACTACCTTAGTAGTAATGGAGGTCTCAATCCTAATTCAATAGTGACTGCAGTAGCAAGTCCAGGAAGGAACTTTATTGGCTGTCTGAATTCCTTTCCACACCAAGTATTTCTTAGCTTCTCCATGACATAGAAAGGTGGAAATGTTACAAGCATGTAGGATATCTGAAATGTTCAGGTGCTAAATAGTTGTAGACTTAAATGTTCAGCATTTCACATGGTCTGTGGCCCTCTAATTCTGGCATTGAAGTTAGCCGTCATATAACAAACTGTGTGGTGGTCCACTTTATGTTATTGACAGTAATTTGGTTTTCATAGTCCCTTTGCTGTTCCTGTGGAGTGTCTTACATGTTTACATGTTATTCTGATAGCAGTTGTGTATGAGGAACACCCAAGGGATTGTGGCAGCCACTAACAATTGGCCCATATTATACACTCTAGTAGCTTCAGTTTCAGAGCAGGTGAATAGGCTGCTGCTTGTGATTTTACATTAGTAAAAGGGAACATGCAACTGAATGCTGTGTAGTGAATCAGCAGTAGTGGCATAGCCAGTGTAGCAAATTCAGCCATATATAGGAGAGCTGTAGTATCTTACAACTCCCTGTGACTTTTTCTTTACTTAGGAAAAAAGTCTGTTCTATTTGGAACTACTCGGGGATGACAAGTTTCCTCTCTTTCTCCCCTACAAATAGCAGTTAAGAGATAGTGAAAACATGTCATTAGTGCTGGTGATGTAAGCTGTCTGTATTTTAGAATTGCATCTCAACTCATTCTGTACCATTGGTTTTGTGAGCTAGGACTGCAGGAAGATTTGGTCCAGCAACATTGGTGTGGCACAATGGCCCATCACAGTTGCCCATCTTCTCTCCTACTGTGGTCCCAGTCTGGATCCAGCCACCCTTCTTCCTTTACTGTTAAAAAAATACATGATGTTTTTGACAAACAACACATCATGTATTTACTATACCAAGTAATTTAACCCTCACATACTTTCGTAAGTTAATGTTTCATCACTCACATTTTGGGGTTAGCTTTTCAGATCCTGAACCATACCTGAGCAATAAAGTACTCCCCAATGGTTGGTAACAGGAAAATTAGCCAGGCCACTGATTTAAGCCAATTGTCCTGTCACCTTTTAGCATCACTGGCATTTTGATGTTGTATTCTGTAATAGGGAAGACAGGTCAGACCATCCTTCTCCAATCCTCTGATGTTTTGGCATAAATATTATCATCTCTGATCATTGGCCATGTTGGTCTGTGCTAAGGAAGGTGTTGCCCAAAACACTTGTAGAGTACTAGGTTAGGAACTGGTTAGTGCTTTCAGTACTGCTGGTGAATTAAAATTGTCCTTGAGAGAATTTTAAGTTTGTATGTCAATGTTTTCGGAATGTTTTAATCAGTATGATAATCTGTAAAAACTGGAGTTAACCTATGTTAAAATCAGGAATACAATAGTTCAGAATCAACAGGGAGAGTGTAACATATTAACAGCAAATTTACTTGTGGTAAAAAATGATATATTTTTTCAAAGCATGAGTGACTTGAATACATGCCTTTTTGTTCGGGGTGATTCTGTTGGAAAGGTTTGATATAAACACAACTTGACAGAAGTAGAAGTGGAGAAAATTCCCTTTTTTTAGAATGATGAACCAGTAAGCTTCAAGAAATAACTAAATTTTAATATGGGTTTCAAGATAGTGTATTAAAGCCTCCATCTTTTGCTTTGGAGGAGGTGTAGTTGCCTATACTTTTGCTGATAATGACATTTGTGAAGTAGCAACTGTGCAACTATCCTATTTTGTAAAACAAACAAGCAAGCTAGTAAAAGTTGAGCTCTTTTGAACATGCATCTCCAGAGGAAAAAAATGCAACTCCTTTGTTTTACTGCCTTAGGAGAAATTATTCCAAGTATGCTGGGTTTCGGTCCTTGGCATAGGAATGCTTACAGAATTATTGGCTGTGAATCTTGGTTTTCATCTATTGTCAATTTGTTTTAAAATTTACTGTCCTTTATTTAAGCTGACCTTCAATACAAAATAGCTGAAATGTATAGAAAGATAAAACAGATTGGACATCTTTTAGAAATGTATAAAAGTTTGTATGAAGTGGGTTAAAGCAGTTTATAGCAACTGAGTTTTGCACCTATCCTGCACTGCGAATGTTAAATGTAAATAAAACACTTTATATGGGGTGTAACTATTTTTATTTCAGAGTGGATTTTTATAGCTAGAAAATAGTTTGCAGCAGAAGCTGAACTATTTGTCCTCCATTGGCTGGTCTTCAAAACTTGCAACTTGACAGCATTTTAAATTCTGTATTTTTAATCCTATGATGCATACAATTGGACAGATCAGCAAGTAGCAAATTTACTTTCGAGAATGTCTTTGCTTCCCCAGTTTCATCTTACTCTGTCCATTAAATTTGCTGTTAAGAAGAGATGCTGCTACCAATATTGAATGGCCCATTTTTCAACGTGACAGATTTCACAATTGAAATGTATGGTGTGCTTCTGACTGGAATTTTAGAGCATGGATAAGATGCTGAATGCTCAAGCAGTGGTGGCAGGTGAGAGAGAACACAAGCACAAGGTACTTCTTGAAACACTGGTTTGCATGGGTCTGGGTCTGGAATTGAAGGAATGGAACAACCATTACTATTTGCCATGGTCTCATTGGATCGGGAACTGTCATGTAGCTTTGGGATGCTATCGAATGCAAGATTGTATACTTCCACTTTTGCTCCAGGCTGGGTTTTCTTAGCTGCGTGATCCAGTGCACGCTGGAAATATGTTTCAGCTTTTAACTGTTTCACCCAGGCTCTTGCACGTCGTTTCCCATGGATTCGTTTTCTCCAATGAAAAAGTAGCATGCAACCAAATACCAGGACATACCAAAGTCCTAGACATCCAAAATAGGTGGGCAGTAAATCTGCAAATAAGAGTTAACATTTTAGTAGAAGTTCTACAACTGCTACATTTCACTGAAGTCAAAATCTGAGTATATGTTGTGCAGTGTTTTGCATTTTTAATTTTTTAAAAATGGGTGTTCTCATTCACTGTCACTGAGTCCTATTTTTAAGGGGAAAAAACTCACCTGGAAGAGGAGAGAAGCAGGAAGACTGTGAGTTGCCTCCTGAATCCAAAATGACTCTCCAGATAATTTTTATATTTCAAAAATTTAATATTAGGACAATCATCTTTTCAAACAGAGCTATTCTATTCAAATTATTTAAAGAGCAACATGGAATAAAAGTTTTAATAGCACTTAATAGGGTTAGTGGGCAACATTCAGACAAAGCTGTGTACAGGGCTTCCTGGACACTGCAGCCACCTGAACGTCCAGGTATGATATTGTATCAAGAAACATCTTGAAGCTGTGAAACAGATTCCTCAGAGGAAGCTCACCCAGCCAGAACAGGCCTGAAATTTCTTGCCCATTCACAAACAGCGATTCCACTTTCTCCAGTACTAGGGGCAGTATGCCTTTATACATGAGATGTGCAGGAATACCGGTGGGAGTGCTCTGAGCAGAACTGTAGACTGGATAGGCTTTTAATCTGCTCCAACATAGCTATTAGGTTCTTGCATACAGTTAATTACTGCACCTTAATAAATGTTCAAGACTACAAAAATTCTAGATTGTGATCCAAAAGGGAGATATGCACGAGCAGTGCTCTGGTGTGGAGTTTTTCATGATGATGCTACACAGGCACAATCCCTGCTGCAGAAGGAAACACCATTCTTATCACAAACCTAGTACTTTATTAGTTAAGAAGTTAAGCAATAACTCAACTCCATCTCCAGTATCATCTTAACCTGTTACAACAGCATTCAAAACAATATGCACATTCTGTGCTAGACCTAGCAGTGCAAAATCAATGTTGAAAGGATTTTTTTATCTTGTAATAGAATATGTGATAGAAAAGTGGTTGTCAACATAGCATGAATCCTGCTACTGGAGTAATGTCCAAAGTGAGAGTTTGTCATGCATATGAACTGCTTAAATGTATTTGTGGCTAAATATATATATTTATATCCATATAATTCCCAGCCACTTCATTAACACATTCATGTTATAATAAGTAAAGCTGAAATGGACAGTTCATTAACAGATATTCACAAGTAACTGGAATGGAAGGCCTCTGATTATGAAGAGTCTTTAAATATAAAAATAAATTACAGAATAATTCACATTTTGGGGGTTAATACTATGGGACAATCTGAAAGCTGACATAAGTTAGGACCTCAAGATGTCCTGATTCAGACATTTCAGGTATTACGGAACAGCAATTCTCCTCCTTCTCTAACAGGCATGCTAGCTAAGATCATTTGGTGTTTTGGTTCAATAATATTTGGAGAGTCACAAACCCTATTCTTGATCTGCATAATTTTTTAATAAAAACACTAATAATTTGGAAAGAAAATGTTCCTTACCACTGGATATAGCCATTGCTTCTTCATATACTCTTTGAAACTTATCAAGTGAATGTCTTCACAAGATCAGTTCACTTTCTTGTTTTGCAGAGGAAGTAGAGCTAAACTAAAAAGCTCTGTGGTTGACGCTACCATCACTGGAACAGAATGACAGAAAGAGTAAGGTTCCAAAGCTTACAATGAGATAATGGCTGCTAGGATACAATTATCGGTGTCAAAAGAACACTCTCTACAACCCAGGGCCTTTAGTATTTGATTGAAAACCTTAATGTACAAGAATGGATAACTAAGTTCAGAACAGAGTCAAGTTCTAACCATCACAACACCCAAAGAATTTTGCTAGTCACCTTTGCCTTTGTTAGTATTTTGAAAAGAATTAAAAGCCTTTCCTTGCCTCTTGTTGAGTTGCCAAAAGCTGCAGCCAGAAATGTTTCTTCCTGACAATGTAAGCCTTTGTGTTTTATTTACTATATGTTTGTTTGATTTATATACTGCCCATCTGACCAATGGTCATTCTGGGAGGTTTACAAGTGATCAAAGAGCATAAAAACAGTCAAAATACATTAATTAAACTCAAAACAAATATTAAACAAAGGTAAAAATGGCTATAGGATAAAAGACTGTTTAAAGTGCCCAGTAAAACTCCTTGTGGTTTCTGCTACAAATACGTATTTCACATTTAAATTAAACTGTTTAATGAAACCATTGTAAATTATTTTTTAATTTTCCAAATGGCATAAAAGCCTGTGGGCCTTCAGGAGGTATAGGGCAGTGGTATCAATTGAGAAAAAGAGAGAAGCAAACTTTAAAAGACAAAAATCAGGCACATTGTAGCCTGATGCAGACTCTCCTCCCTTCCTTTGGACAAATGTGTAACCCCAACTCCGCAAAATACTACCAGTGTATTTGTATGTATTGGATTATATTTGTGAATGCCAGCAGAGCACACACTGCTCCTTTCTCATGTTTAAACTATTCTTCTGCTTTTATGTATCTAAGAGATTTATGTGTTTGTATATAAAGGCACAACAATTCCAATTGTTGAATTGGAATTGTTTTGATGGTATTCTGCAATAATACTTATAGCAATGGCTGGAATACATTTCATTTTTTTAGTGCCACGCTAGTGTGTGTTTAAATGTGCATGCATTCATTTCACCAGCAGAAACCATGCAAACTAATTTTAATATTTACTACATAACAGTATTGTAGTTATATGCTATCAAAGTTCTTCCAGTTTATGAAGATCCAAAAAATTATTAGCCTCCAAAAGATCCTATCATTAACAGTCCTCAGGTTTTGCAAACTGAATGTTGTGTGTTCATTTCTTGGTCAATCTATCTTCTATTTGGTCATCTTATTTCCCTGTTGCCTTCAACTTTTCCCAGCATTATTGTCTTCTTCCAGTGAGTCATACCTTCTTATGAAATGCCCAACATTTGACAGCCTCAGTTTAATTAGCTTTTGTAGATGTAAATGCCTCTACTTGATTGTCTTTCTAATGCTGTATAAAATCTGTCAAGCTCTTCTCCAACACCACATTCCAATTTCAAATGAATATTCCTGGCAGCTTTCTTCCCTCTTGAGCTTTCACACATACAGTACAATCAGGAATAGCATAGTACAGTATATGATCTTGCCATGGGTTCTGTGGAACACATTCTTTCACTTGAGGATATTCTGTAACTTCTTCATAGCTTGCCCTTTCAAGACTTATTTCTCCTTCTGCAGTCTCAATTCCAACTGATGATTTAACTGAAGTATAGAAAATATCTTACTATTGAAAATTCATTGTAAAAAAAAATTATGAATATAACATAGTTTTTGACTTCTCACTAGTCTTCATCAGGATGAGCATTACAGTGCTGGGGGTGGTGGAGAAAAAACAAATATCCAACATTGTTGGCTAGATGTGCAGGCTGGATTGAAACAAATTCAAAAAATACGAGGTGGTACATTTCAGTATGGATTAGAATGTGGCGGTTAACACAAAGTCCCATGTATTCAATAGGGCTTACTCCCAGTTAAAGGCGGACAGGACCCCAACCCAGCTGAGGAACGGAGGATGGGCGCCCCATTTGGGAGTCGGCTATGTATGTCTGAGAGCAACTCGGGTTCTGGCGGCATCCCTCTAAATGTATTCGGTAGGACCGAGAAAGCAACGTGTGAAATAGTTCACATCCTCTGAAATCGGACGGCTCTCCAGCTATTTCTTTCGTCCACCCCATTCATTATAGCCAATTCATGTACAACTTTCGATGCAGCCACGGAAAGCAGCTAACGGGGCTGTTCCCTGTTCGAGGCGGAACCTTGGTGCTGGGCTGTGTGGAGAAGGAGGGAAGTGTTACGCGTTACTCTCGGCGGAAGCGGGCGGACGAGGGCGGAATGGCAGCGGGGCATTTGCAGCAATTATGGGGGGCAGCGGGACTCGGGCTGTGCCGAGGGGCGCTGGTGGGTCGTTTCGCCGCTCTTCGCCCTCTTGGCCTGCTGCTTCCCCCGCAGCCTCGACTCTTGGTGGTGGCAGTTCGGGGGGCTGCAGGCGATGGCGGCCTGGAGGCGAACTCCTTCTTTGAGAAATACCAAAGCAAGATCGACGCGCTTCGCAGGTAACGGGGGCCGTGCGTCTTTTGGTTTCGGCCACAGGTGTGTGTGTGGGGGAGGGCACGGATCCCCCACCTCCTGGTAGTTTTGTCGTTTCTGGAAGAAACAAACGCAAATCTGATGTAACTCTTCGAGCCCCAGACTTAGCAACGCGGCCCCGTCCTCGGCCGAGCTCTCTCTGTTTTGACCCTTGGGAGGCTGGGCTGCGTCCTCTGCACGTCTCTGAAGAGGAGAAAGTTCCACAGAACTTGGTTGGACTTTCTTGCGAGTAAATATAAGCAGGATCCGGTTGTCCCACACGTGTTGAGATTGAGGCGAAACCACAAAGAAGCCCACGAGTGTTTGTTCGTTGTAAGCTTTGGTAGGTGCCTCCACTTTGACACAGACAGCTGGTCATAGGTTGCAGTCTAGGCAGACTTATGCCAGATGTGTTAATATTTAAGGTACCACAAATGCGACTCTTGTTTTGGTACAATAGTTTGACATACCCAAGCAATGGAAGTTATTAAATACGTAGTTCTGTCAGAAAGCTCCACCTGTGGCTCTTAATTTTCAACTTACTGTATTTGCATAAATGCAACTTACTGTATTTGCATAAATGCAAATTCCGGTGATTTGGGAGCTGCTGTAAATAATTAAAGTGGTATCGGTTGGCATTCTTATAAATGAAGATGTGTTCTTTCACATGTGCTCCTCAGCTTTGGACTTGCTGAATAAACGTGGCCAAGTTGCTTTTATCATCCTAAACTGGTTTCCAGAATGTGTTTTGAAAAGTTGGAATAAGTGTAGTTCTCAAGCTTTTCTGAGGCAGAGGGGGTAACTTACAGTTGTTATTCAATAACTGTAAATTGATCTAACTTTGATCCAGATCAAATCCAGATATTTTTGAATCCCGAATGGAGAAGAAGGATGATGTGAAAAAGCAACCACTGGGATACTCACAACAAGCAGAGTTTGTCAAACACATGGAGGAAAAGGCAAGGCCAATTTTTTAGACATACCTTATATGGTGCTTTGTTATCTGTCAGAAGTCTGGGGTATTAAATGTTGATGGAAATACAGAAAACATGTATATCCATCAGGTTTTGTTTTTCACAATAGGCTAGTTACTTAGCTGAGATGAAGGGATATAAAATGTTTCAGAGCAATTCTGCACACTAGGTTTTTTAAATCACATACCTTTTATATGAACTGCAATTCTGGAAGGAAGAGGACATACAGATATATTACAAATAAAATACAGGAGACACCTATAATTTCCATACATGTTTATATTGCTGTTTTTAAATCTGTTTACCTGGGATGCATTTTAATAGATCAGAATATTTTTTCATTAATAAATTTAGCTAGCTAATTTATTAAAAATTGCAATCTGACTTTTATTGTACCAATGTACTCTTTTATAGCAAAAAAATATCATACATAAACTAGTCTTCCCAGATTACTGTAGAGGTTGTTAAATTACAGACAGACATTTAAATTTAACCTTGGACTTTACATGACAAAAAATTGGGTTTTATGATACTCCATTTTTCCCCATTGTCAGACATCTCTCTACTAGTTTCTCATAAACATAAATGTTTCTCCCTATTTCCAGCAGGGTGGATAAAAATCAGATTTTTTAAAATTTAAATTGTGATTTAAGTAATGATTTAGATTTTAGATTGATTTGATTTAAATCAGTCCACCCTAAGAGTCATGCAACTTTAAGTAATGTTATTTCTACAGACACTCTGCCTAAACAGAAGAATTTCCAGTGGATGTTTTGCCAATATTTTAGTTACTCATTTTTGGTGTATCTCTTCATCATTTATGTAAATTAGCTGAATTCATGTCACTTGAAGTGTTACCATGGGGTAAGTAGTTATATGAAAAAGCCTTAAGTACAGCACTAAGGGATGACCCAGATTTCTTTCCTCAAGTATAATCAACAGACATGTTGGTGGATTTAATTTAGTCTTCAGCTGGGTTGTTGCTCAACATCAGCGTTGAACTGAATGTTCATAGTAATGTCTTGGGCACATTAAAAATATATTTGGCATAAACTTTCCATGGTCACTAGCCTACTTTACATGGATCTGATAAATTAGGCTGTAATGTATAAAAGCTTATGCCAAATCAAACTCCTTTGCATATAAGGTGATGTAAGATTCCTTGTTATTTTTTTTAATAAAAGCAATGTTTTGTTAAATACACCATTTACTATCCAGAAAAATGGTTCCAATTACTTGTGTAGAATTCTCAATGAATGATAAATCAGAAGTATACAGTGGTACCTCGACTTACGAACTTAATCCGTATCGGAACAGCGTTCGTACATCGAAAAGTTCGTAAGTCAAAGCACCATTTCCCATTGAAATGCATGGGAACAGGATTAATCTGTTCCAGCATTTCAAAAAAAAATACCAAAAATACAAATAAACAGAGCAAGTCCCATGCTGGGACTGCAAACACACACACACACACACACACACAAATCCAAAAACAAGACAACATAGCACAGAAACATAAACCCCCAGTCCAAACCAACCCTCCAAAACATACCTAGAACAGTTTTTTAAAGAAGGACTTACCAGTCCGAAGCCTCCTCAGTCTCCTGGCACTATGCTGCCTCCGCCATGGCCGGGGGCGAGCGGCCAAGCACCCGGCCAGCTCAAGCCTGCCAGTGCTGGGTGACTGCTGCCTCCAATTGCTTGTGATCAGACCCCCAGGAGGCCTCTGGAGGCCTCCTGGGAGTCCCATCACGGTGGTGGTGGACTCCCAGGAGGTCTCCAATAGTGACAGGGAAGCCCTGTGAAGTCTCCCAGGGCTTCCCTGCCACCATTGGAGACATCCTGGGGTCCCCCACCACCACAGTCGGTGCCTTCAGAGGTCTCTGGAGACCTCTTGGGGGTCCAATTGTGGCGGCGGGGGATCCCCAGGAGGTCTCTGATGGTGGTGGGGAAGCCCTGTGAGGTCTCCCAGGGCTTCCCTGCTGCCATCGGAGGCCTCCTGGGGGTTCCTTTTCCTAACTGTTGGGGCAAAAGAGCAGCTTCTTTGCCACCAACGGTTTGAATGGAATGGAAAAAAGGCAGGGGAATTTGAATTTTTCGCCCTTTTCCACTGCCTTTTTTCATTCGCAGGTCAAGGCTCCGTTTACAAGTCGATGCAAACTTTTGCTAACGGAGCGTTTGTAGGTCGACATGTTCGTAGGTAGGGACGTTTGTAAGTCAAGGTACCACTGTATACACATGTCTTTCTTGGATTTGTTCACTTTCAGGCACAAGAAAAAAGAGAATAACAATTTTATCACTGATTAGATTATGCCAGTGTAGACTTTGTTGTTTAGTCGTTAAGTCGTGTCCAACTCTTAGAGGACAAAGATGTTGTGCTTCTTAAAGACTAATGTGATCTTTTGTGAGCAAAACCACTCCCTCAGACTTGAAAAGTCACCTTAAAGACTAACTGCTACATTGTATTGTGACAGGAAAGCTCACAGTACAATGTAGCAGTTAGTCTTTAAGGTGCCACAACATTTTTCTCTTGTTTTTCTTTTGTGTTTGATCTATTTTGCCAGCAAAGACTAAGACACCTGCTTTTTCTACAACTACATCCATGAAAGAATACTGTGCAGTTCATAAGTCATTCTGTGCTAAGTACTTCTACATTACTGAGGAACGGGGCATTTCTGTGCTGGAATGGTTGTGTATGCACATTCCTTGAAAGATATTTAGTGTGGTGAACTTTCCAGTTTTCAATATGCTCGCAGGCTTCTGGGAATTGCAGTCCAAGAACACCTGGATTACCCAAGATGGGCAACCACTGCATTAGAAGATGCAGGCAGGGCTGTTGTTGTTTAGTAGTTAAGTTGTATCTGGCTCTTTGTGACCCGATGGATCAGAGCATGCCAGGCCCTCCTGTCTTCCACTGCCTCCTGGAGTTGGGTCAAATTCATGTTGGTAGCTTTGATGATACATTTCATCCTCTGATGTCCCCTTCTCCTCTTGCCTTCTCCCAACATCAGGGTCTTTTCCATGGAGTCTTCTCATGAGATGGCCAAAGTATTGGAGCCTCAGCTTCAGGATCTGTCCTTCCAGTGAGCACTCAGGGTTGATTCTAGCTCTCACTTCCATACATTGCTACTGGAAAAACCATAGCTTTGACTATGTGGACCTTTGTTGGCAAGGTGATGTCTCTGCTTTTTAAGATGTTGTCTAGGTTTGTCACTGCTTTCCTCCCAAGAAGCAGGTGTCTTTTAATTTCGGGGCTGCTGTCACCACCTGCAGTGATCCTGGAGCCCAAGAAAGTAAAATCTGTCACTGCCTCCATATCTTCCCCTTCTGTTTGCCAGGAGGTGATGGGACCAGTGGCCTTGATCTTAGCTTTTTTTTATGTTGAGCGTCAGAGCATTTTTTGCGCTCTCCTGTTTCACCCTCATTAAGAGGTTCTTTAATTCCTCTTCACTTTCTGCGATCAGAGTGGTATCGGCTGCATATTTGAGGTTATTGAAATTCCTCTGTGTATTCTTGCCACCTCTTCTTGATGTCTTCTGCTTCTGTGAGGTCCCTACCATTTTTGTCCTTTATCATGTCCATCTTTGCACAATATGTTCCTTTAAAATCTCCAATTTTTGTTGCTGCAGTGTTACAAGCCTCCATCCATAGTTCTTCAGGCACTCTGTCCACCAAATCTAGTTCCTGAAATCTGTTATTCACTTCCACTGGATTTGTAAGGGATTTGGTTTAGATTATACCTGACTAGCCCAGTGGTTTTTCCTACTTTCTTCAGTTTAAATTTGAGTTTTGCTATAAGAACCTGATGATCAGAGCCACAATCAGCTCCAGGTCTTGTTTTTGCTGACTGTATAGAGCTTCTCCATCTTTTGGATGCAGAGAATATAATCAATCAGATTTCAGTACTGCCCATCTGGTGATGTCCATGTGTAGAGTTGCCTCTTGTGTTGTTGGAAAAGAGTGTTTGTGATGGCCAGCTTGTTCTCTTCACAAAACTCTATTAGCCTTTGCCCTGCTTCGTTTTGAATTCCAAGGTCAAATTTACCTGTTGTTCCTTTTATCTCTTGACTTTAGTTTTCGGGTCCCCTATAATGAGAAGAACATCTTTCTTTGGAGTCAGTGTCACTGATTGGTCAATTTCAGCCTCTTCAGCATCAGTGGTTGGTGCATTAACTTGGATTACTGTGATGTTGAAAGGTTTTACAGAGGCACAATTTTAAAAAACTGTTTATTAATTTCAGGCCAAAGATGAAACCCAAAAAACCCAATTCACAAAAAATAAGGTATGTTATCCTTACTTTACTTGTATTTATTGTACAGTATTTCTCTTGTAATTTGATGTGGGAGTGAATGTAGGCTGTTTAAAACAGAAATGGCTGACTTTGGAGAGTTTCTGCCTTGGAAAAAGAGTGGCTTATGGCTGGGATGGAGCATCCTATGATCTGTTACTGCTTTCATTTCCCTCCCACTCATTCCAAACTCAGTGGTCTTGACAGGAGCCTGATGAATTATATGGTGTCAAGTTGATTCTAACTCATGGCAACCCTTTCCAGGGTTTTCTAGGTATAAAATATTCAGAAGTGCTTTACCATTCTCTTCTTTTGGGGTTACTCTGGGACTTTTGTTTTTCCAGGAAGCACAGTGGGGATTTGAACTTCCATCCTCTGGTTCTGCAGCTAGGTATCCAACTCACTGAATTATTCGGACAGCTGCCATACATCTACTCTTTTTTTGGGGGGGGGGGTGGAGATCAATTGAAATGCTATCCTATCTGTATGTTAAATTCTCCTGTTAAAGGTCAAGGGTTTATGGATGGAGAGTTTATGGATTTCATTGTTTTTGTTTGTTTTATTGTTGCTTTTAATGATGATTTACCATACAAGTGTTACTTGGTAATTTGTTTCAGACACTTGATTCCATAGTCAACGTTGAGATGATAAAACGGAAGAAGCCAGAAGAAATAAAGCAGGTGAGAAAATTGTACATACATTTTGTGAAAGCTTACCAGGATTCACTCTCATTATTCTTTATAAATATGTGAAAGTTTGTATGGCCAAAGGTAAACAATGCTAATAAGCTACGTATCATATAGGCCATTTCATGCAGCGCTGTTTCTTTCATGGAAATAACTGAATAAATGAACTCATTTACCATTGTGGGAGGTATGATGCAAGTATCTTTTCTGCATGGCATGTAGAAGCTGTATAATCACTTCATAGCAATTAATTTATACCTTTTCTATACACCAATTTCCATGACAGACATAGTAATAGGTCCATACTGTCAAAATATCTGCCTTTGCATTGAAATTGTCAGTGTTTGACTGCCCTGGCCTTCTGAGATGAGCTGACTGGTGAGGGACCATGGCTTTTTTGGCAGTGGTGCCTGGTGTGAGGTGTATTGGCTCCAGAGAGACTCTCCTTCTGTCCAGTTTCATGTCTTTTACTTTGTGCCAGTGGAGGACATTTTACAAATTTTCCTAGGTCTTTTTAAACAGCATCAGTTTACTAATCTCCCTGTGATGATGTGATTCTAAGTTCTTTTTTTGCAGCTTTGTGATGTATCTGCATTTTGTTTTGGTTGTCATTAGTTTTTGTTAATCAGCCATGAGAGTGGTGTTGAGGGGGTGGGGCAGGAATTAACACAATAAATGAAATGTCATTTCTGCCCTGACCTTCCTTTTTTCCAAATGAAGGGCATACTGAAGCCACCAAAGTAAAAGATGCATTAACCAAGGTCAGGGTCCCCTGTTGAATGATAATTCAGTTCTAATCAGACATACACACAGTATGATAAATGTGAGATTATGTTCATTGTTTTATGATGAGCCATGAAGTAAATGTAGTGATTTGTTTCTTCCAGATATGGAAGCAATATTTTTCTGGAGAAGACACAGTTTATGCAGTTATTCCTGTAAGTACAGCTAGAGGTATTGTATTATGTTGTAGCTGATATATAATGGTATGAGTGTTGTTGAGATTGAAGCACAGACGTTTGCTAAGCATATGACCTTTTCTTTCAGGTCGTATGCTTAGCAAACGTCTGTGAAACTAGTGATATAATAGGAGTGGACTGTTCTGTAAAAGCCTAGATATACTTTGGCTTTAAAAGGGAAAAGACTGTTAATATATGGTTGTTGTGGGTTTTTTGGGCTCTTTGGTCGTGTTCTGATGGTTGTTCTTCCTAACGTTTTCCCAGTCTCTGTGGCTGGCATCTTCAGAGGACAGCACTCTGTGCTCATCTTCAGAGGACATCTTCAGAGGACAGAGTGGTGTCCTCTGAAGATGCCGGCCACAGAGACTGGCAAAACTCTAGGAAGAACAACCTTCAAAACACAGCCAAAGAGCCCGAAAAACCCACAACAACCATTAGATCCTGGCCATGAAAGCCTTCGCAAATACACTGTTAATATATCTTATTATTTATTTGACCAGGTCATATACACAGGTTTGTCTGGATTACCACTGAACAGTTGGATGTTTGTATGTTTTGTGATAACTGTTTAGACAGTTTTACCTACTTACAATTTGCACATTACAAAACTCCATCACTATGCTGTAACATTGGTATCTCTATTACACTTCTGAGCTATATTGTATTTCTGAGATATATTTGTCTGTCTATTGAGCCTATTTTCTTTACGTCTTAAGAAGCCGGCTATAATCCTTGAAAGCTTGTGCTAAATAAATCATGTTAATCTTTAAGGTGCCAGAAGATGATGATGGCTTTTTATGTACATGAGCATTTTGAAGCTATCTTATAGATTGACATTAAACCATTGAAAATTTGAGCTTTTCAGTAGTGACCTCAAAAAATGAACATCTTGTTGGAAAAACTTAATTTTACCATTCAAAGCAGTCCTATTTGGTTTTGTCTCCTTCAGAAACTAAGACAGTTTGTTTATTATTGGTTCTTTTCTAGGGGTGATATTGATTGAAAATGTGGTTTATTATCTATAAAATTTATATTTGATTTTTAGAAGTTCAGTCATTATGATGCATTATTTTGGAAGTGACAAAAAGTGATTAAAAGGTGTGAGTGCCGAAGTTTTAAATAGATAGTGTCCTTGAAACACTTTACATCCGAGGAGTGAAGGCAACGCAAGTATATTTTCCCACTTTCTTTTCTAAGGGGAAAACTTTTGATGTGATGTGGAAACGAATTCAGAACTGCCCATCTGTAAGTATTGTGCATGTATCTTGCCAGCTCTCATGTGCCTAGACCAGTATTGGTTCCTGTATTCTTTTCCTTTTGATACTGACTGTGTAAATTGGGTTTTATTTGGATGAACTCTCCATGAAATGTTTTAGGCAGGGGTAATAGTTATAAAGTACAGCTTCTGTATTAGCAGATCTTGAATTCTTGTACTCTTGACCTTATGAGAACTTCAGCTCAGTACAACAGGAGGTCAGAGAACAATTGTGATTTTTTTTTTCTGGAACAAGTTCAGGCATACTTAATTGTTTTATAGAAAAATTTGCGAAAAATTCACTGAAAGTAGGTAAAGGTTTACAGTACCCTGTTTCCCTGAAAATAAGACCTAACCTGAAAAATAAGCCCTAGTATGATTTTTCAGGATGCTCGTAATATACCTTCCCAAATAAGCCCTAGTTAAGTGAAACCCTTCCTTGCACAATTCTGCAGCAACCAGAAAAAGATGACATGACTGTATTTGAAGATTGTAAATTGTTTACATAGGGGGAAAAAACATCCCCTGAAAATAAGCCCTAATGCATTTTGGAGCAAAATTTAATATAAAATTCTGTTTTATTTTCGGGGAAACACGGTAGTAGCAGGCCTATGATGAGATAAGATGTATCTGTCTGCAAAAGGTTACTTCCTAGGCAGCAGTTAACAGAGCCAGGAGAACAGTCTGGGGAAACCCCTAAATTCTGCTCTAGAAACTGATGGATCCTGCATGTTGTCAGCACTGTTGGTAAGTGTTATGGATAAATGCTCTACGAAAGTCATCTGCAATTGTTTCTTTCTTCTGGCTGCTGTTGTTGAGATGCTTATTTATTTCATTTCATTTACATTTGCCTTTCTCCGATTCAGACACCCAAGGCAGAACGTGATTGCTGCTTTGATTACCTCAGCATAGCGTGCAATTATTCATAGGCCTGTCCTGATTATTTTGGGAGAACCTGAGTAGAGAACTTAGCAGAACACATTTCTGAGGGTCAAACAAATTAAAGTAATCACAAAGGTGTCTTAGAAAGCTGAGGATCTCTGAAGGGATTGACATGATACTTAAAAAGGTTTATAAATAATGGAATGAGTCTCGTTCGTGGCATGGCTACAAGTTCTCCCAATCCTTTTTGACTGGAATGCTGAAAGAATGAATTTTGGAGCTATTGGGCATTTTAGCCTCCATGTCATGCTTTCCAACCCATTCATCCACACAAAATTCCCAGTAAGATATGGTGAATAGCATGTTGGATTTTGAGCAGGGAGGCCTGAATTAAAATTTACAGTGAACCATGAAGCTCAGATTCTGGAGATCTTGGGTCAGGTTCTGTGTTTCAGGCTAAGCTACTTTACAGGTTTGAGACCCTGTGCAGTTTTCTGACGCTCTTGCGGCAAAGGCAGAATAGCGCGGTATAAGTCTTGAATACATCCAGTGAACCCTCCCTAGATATACTGTACAAGCTACAGTACAGACCTATCAGTCAGATTTGGGAGCAAATAGTGACTTTTAAAACTCTGGAATTTAATGCTGAATTTATTTGATGAAAGCAGCCCCCCCCCCCGATGTTGTTGGAGTGCAATTCACATCAGCACCAGCCATCATACAGAAGCCATCATATTCAGCGGTGAGAGAGGATGGTAGTTGTAGTCCCAACAACATCTGAAGGGCTACTCATCCTTGTTGTACATTAAAAGACAGACTTTAAAAGATGAACCTGCTTGGAACCACAGTACTGCACACTAAGCAGTCACATGCTCTGTAATCCAGTCTTCTCACTGATGATGGCTGCAGACTTTTTTCTCTTGAAGCCTGTGTAGTTCTGATTTCTTCCTGATCTGTGACAAAATAAGTCTTTGTGATTTCCCTCGCCCTCCCACCAGTTCCTGTATGCATTGCCAAGGAAGGAAGGCTATGAGTTTTTCATGGGACAGTGGTCAGGACCAGAACTCCACTTCACTTCTCTGATAAATATCCAGGTAGGTACATTTTGAGACGCAGAGTACAGATGAAAGATGGTTTTTGAATTATCTGGGTGTTTAAAAATTACATAAAATGTAGCAGTTCATTGGCCAAAATCCTGTTGTTTAGCATAGTAAATTGCAACAGAGTAAATTCAGGATATTGGCGGTTGTTACATGTGTAAGCTGATATTGCTGGTTTGTGGGTTCTTTTTTTTTTCTATGTTGAGTCTTTTACTACATTTTTACATTTGTACGCTCAAGTAAAGCAAAATACACCTTTTATTTATGTTGGTCCTTGAGTACCAGCTTCATAAAGCAGTTGTTCCTTCCGTGCTTGATTCAGGGAAGGAAATATTCCTTTCCAGACATCGAAGCCCTGGCAGTCTCTACCTTACCCTCATCCTCAGTGTTAACTTTCTTCTTCACTGGAGAGCTGCTCTATTAGTTCTTCTGGAAACTGAACCTAACTAGAAGATGAGAAGAGCCGTTCTGGAGAAGAGTAAAGGGCTGTTTAGTATTTTATTCCCATAATTGTCTATGCATTGCTTATAGGATTCCCACAAGCTGCTTACAAACAGCTCATGTTGCACTTCAACTCTTACTGAGAAGCATGCTGCCTCTTTATCTTGGAGGGGACAAATAGCCATTGTGACTAGTAGCCACTGATAACTTTATCCTCCATGAATTTGTCTACTCTCCTTTTAACACTATCTACATGTTTGTGCCTAACCATATAAACTGAATGATTAAGCAGTGATTTTCCATTCAGTTAAACATAATTTAACAATCAGAAATATAAATGAGAGTGCCATTGGCGTATGAAGCTCCTTTGTTTCTCCTTTGCTGCAAGAAGTATTTTATCTAAACCAGGAACCTACAGTTAACATCTTCAGAACAAGCCAGGCTGGACCTATACTTTGAAGTTGGTCTAAGATCTTGATTTACTTTGAAGCTGGTAATCCCCTGTCCCATTCTGAGAAACGTATTAGTTAAAATCCCCCTGGGTTCATTGTCCTGCCCCAGACCAAAGAGGGTGGCCAAAAGGCTATTCATCTCAACTTTTTCACCGACTAAGATATTATTGTCTGAGCATTCCCAGTAAACAGGCTGGATAATGATGGTTGCTCTTGGCACCAGTTCTGGCCTGCAATAAAATATGAGCATTGAACATTCATTCAGGTGCGTTGAGAAATTCAGTCCTCTACCAACACTTTCTCATTCTGGCTTCTTTGCTTAAACTTTCATCTTCTTTTAATTCCTCTGTGTCCTCTTTATCTTCACACATAGGGCAGGATCCAGTGACCCTTAAAATGGATTGAAGGGACTGCATGTACATACTGAGCTTTCCATATTTTATTCCCAAATGGCAGCCCATGGTATGCTACCATTTCAAGTTCACTTTTAAAATTCTGTGGGAGAGAAAAAGGATGCTGTTTGAACAAAGAAGACCAACAAACTGACATGCTTCTCTTGAGTAGTACCTACTGTCCATTAAATGGAATTTGTTTTTAATTTTGGGAAACATGAACTTTGGAGGTTTATGTTTCTGTGATGTGATCATAGTATTTTAGAGGATGGCAAATCCATTCCTCTAGGTGTGATACTTTTTTTGTTGTAACATACTAATCCAGCAAGAAGATTATACATAATCTTCAATTTGACATAGGAGAGAAAAATGAAGGAGTTGGAAGGGTTTCATTTTGATCTGCATTTCTATGCATGTTTGCTTCATCTTGTTCTAGAAAGCTTCTAGCCATAGCATTTCAGATATATGTGTAAGAGGATCTTACCACCACCACCACCATCCTAATAGTGATCTCAGTTCTCTGTCTGCCATTACTTATCTGCTGAAAACATCTTTATGCAAGGGGAAAGTAACCAGTAGACTAGAAATCCCTAAGGATTTGCTTGTCTCAACAAGAGTAGACTCATTGAATGAACTGCTGAGTCAACACTTATATAAATCCCTTTGATTCAGTGGGTGTGCTCTAATTGGGGGCACCAGTTGGAAAATCCCCAAAATATCCCAATGAGGACCGAGTATAGTCAGTGGTCATGAAATCCTGACCGATTGTTTGCATTGATGATGTCCACCTCTGACTTCACCTTGAAGATGGCACCTGTTAGGATTATTTGTTTTTGTATTTCATTCTTATACCTCTTGAGTGCCCTTTGTGTTTGCTTGAAGTTTTGAAAATATTTGTTTATTGGTTAAGAGCCATGTTTTGATATTAGTGGTAGGTTCACGGTTCATATACTACTTGATCACAATGATAATTTTTCTTTGATGTAGACTCTGGGTGAAGCTGCTCCTAGCCAGTTGGTCTTGTATCATTATCCTGAACTTCAAGAGGAAAAGGGAATTGTACTCATGACAGCAGAAATGGACTCTAAATTTTTGGTAAGCACAGCTACTTAGGGTAAAAAGATGGTATTCCTTTGCTTTCTATGGGTAGAATCAGTAGAATAGTTTGTGAAACTGTTATTTTGTTTAATAAATACAAGAGAAGGATAAACATTTTTGAGCATGGTGTTTCTTTCATGTTCCATCAAATATTTTGCTTGAGGTTTGATGTAACAACAGCATCATCCTACTCCAGAAATCAGCAAAGATCAGAAAGATAACTTTTATTACTGGCTCTGTTTGATCTTGCAGAGGGATTCATGACTCTAGATTCAAGACAAAGTCACTGACCTCTTCACCATAGGTTCAGTTTGACTTTCCTCTGTTAAAGGAACAGTGTGATGTGGTCTTTATTGACGCTGGTAATGCAACAAAACATAAAAGTGGATCTGTCCTACTTTCACAGCATGTTCTTTTCTTGTGCTTTAATATTATATTAATTTGAAGGCCGGAATCCAAGTGAATATTTATGCTGAGTAAGTGCAACGTGGACGTGTAACTTGGAGTGGTGAATACACACTAATAAAAGAAGTCCCCAGTTGAATTCTTAGTAGTGCACAAGCATGGGACTAGGAATTCAATCAGGGACTTGTTAGTTAGCAGTGTTTCCCCACTCCAAGTTATATTTACTTGGGTGTAAATATTCAGTTGGATTCTGGCCATTGAGTGAATGAACAGGTGCTGGCCTTACAGTAGTTCTGGCACTACAGATCAGTGAGAAGATGCTCCTGCGATAATAAGCACAAGACAGAAGATCTAGCTTAGAATTGTTGCACTTAAGAGGCTAGAATTAAGACATCACTCTTCATTTTCATGTGCATATGGATGCTCCCTCCCCCAGTGCATGCTTTAAATCAAGACTGAGGGATCTCAAGCCCTCCAAGTATTGATGAACTACTGCTCTCATCATCATTGGCCAGGCTAGCTAGAGCTGATGGGAACTGGAGTTCAGCAACGTGTGGAGAGCCACTGGTCCACTGGCCATGCTTTAAATGAGTACCTAATGTATGATAAAACATAACATTCTGTAGTATTTTATTGGAGGATTAAAGGCTAGACCTTTTCTTCCAGCCATTCTAGTGTTCTGCATGTTGGAGATACTGTTTGTCTGTTTGTATATGAGGGCACAGTTACTCATGACCTCCCGCCAGTTTTACATAGTGAGAGAGCAAGGTCAGTGTGGTATGTAACTTTGTTTGATAATCAAGTTTATGGTGGGGCTAACATTCACACTAAGCTTTGTGTGTTCATGTGTGCTCAGCATTGCATCAGTCCCACACAGGCAGATCAATGCTGCTGCCCATTTACTTCTGGTTGCTGCCAGAAGCCCACCTGAAGGAACCTGACTGAAGTCTCATCACAAACGCTTGCCTTTATGTTGCGGCTGGATTGGCCAACAGTAAAGCCAAGACAGAAGAGTTCTGAAATGGATCCGTGGCTCAACTCATGCTTTAATACATTTGCGCTAAACAGATGTTTAGAGCCCGAGTAGTCCTGTAAGTCTTCTGATAAACTGCCTTGTATTTTGTTTTGTTTTGTTCTTAAATTTACAGAGTGTGCAAGAAGCTCAGTGCCTAGCCAGCCAGGTGCAGCTGTTTTATGCCACAGAGCGCGAGGAGACCTACCGCTTAGTGGAAACGTTTAACCACTGTCCCGACCAGTTTAAGTACATGTCTGTAATAAGTGAGCTTGAGCAAAGCAGAGTTGGGCAAGAACTGAGGCCTCAGCTGGACCCTGCACAGCCCAGTGCTTGAAAGGTGCAGCAGCATCAAGCAAAGAGAGTAGATATGGCATTGATCTTGCCTTGGAGTTGCTGTCGTAGACAACGACAATCCCTACGGGGGGAAAAAGCTGCTTTTGTCTTTGATTATGTGAAGAAATGATCACATCAAGTGGGCTATGCAGTACGATAGGAATGTGGAGGCTCTTGCATAGCATCATTTATTTCTGAATGGTAAATGAAATGATAAAATGAATAAGCATTTATAATTACTGTGGGTTTCTTTTCAAATTGCTCTCCTCCATTACACACTGCTTAGTGCCTTTTTGTACTTATGAAGATCCTGAATGTCAAGCAAAGTATCAGGGGTTAGCTAGGAACTACTGGAGGTAGAGTTCCTACACAGTCTTTGTGTGTGTGTTTGTGTGCGTGTGTGTGTTTGTGTGCGTGCGTGCATAATCTCATCAGTGGGCATCATTGACTAGACCAGGGGTCAGATTTTCAACCCAGCACCTATTTTGGGTTGCACCCGAGAGATAGCCCCCAAATAATTAAAATAAAATTAAAAATACCACAAAAATTAAGAATGACAGGACATGCTCTAGTAGTTTTGATTATGTGGGACTCAGGGTTTTTTTTTCAGCATTGGGCAGGTTGCATGTTGCTTTAGGCTGCATTTTGCCTGCTCCTGAGTAAGAGCCTAAGAGCTAAAACTAAAACTAAAAAATACAGACATAGAAAAACAGCAAATGTGAAAGACATATCTTGAAAAGAATATAAGTAGAGATGGGCATGAAACTGGGTTTGGAGATTCCCCTGCCTCCCCGGCTGAATCCCTGACTCACCAGCCAGCGCACACTGCTCTCTTCCTCTTCTTTGGCTGTTCAACCAGTCTCCGGCAGGGGCATGGGCTTCCCTTCCCTGCTTCCTTGGCTGATCGCCCACTCAGACAAGAACAGGGAAACTCGAGCTCCTGCCGGGGAACTGGTCGAACAGCTGAAGAGGAGGAAGAGAGGAACGTGCTCTGACTGGTGGAGTGGGTCATTGGCATACAAACCAGCATGAACCTCTGGTCTGAGGTCCATGCCCATCTCTAAACATAAACATAAAAACTATTTCATGAGTAAAACCAAAAAACATGAGCTGATTTGATTTGAGGCTAGCTTGACTATGAAGGGATGAGTGTTTACCACAATGTTTTGTCCTGTGAGGGCAGGGGGCGAGATGGGAAGCTGTTGTCATTTTTCTCCAAAAGGAGAGAGAGAGAGAGAGACTATTTTTTTCTAATTCTGGCAATACATCCAGGCCTAAAGAAAAGGTACAGACCTCCTACATAAAAGCAGAAAGGAAGGGAGAAAATAAGATATTTGGCATATAATTTAACAAATGAATTAGGAGGAAAATGTTTGTATAACCTGGCTCTAACATCTGTGAAATCATCAGTATCTTACAATCCTTCCTGCTTCAAACAAAACTAATATATATCTCTGTTAATTTTTCTTTGAAGCAGGAAGGATCATAAAATACTGCTAATCTCACAGATGTTAGAGCCGGGTCATGTACAAATTTTCCACATAATTCATTTGTTAAACTATGTAACAATTGCCTTCCTTTTTGCTTTTGTGTAAGAGGTCTGTACTTTTTCTTTAGGCCTCCATGTTTATTTCTGAATCCGGTATGAGCAGATGTAGCTGGTTCAGAATCTTCTGTCTGCATAAAAAGCTGGTATTGCACAGGCACCTAGACTTGATCTGGAGGACAGAAGGCAGATTTTAGCCTCTGCCTAATAGGCTGTCTTGTCAGAGTGTATTCAGAGAAGATCTGCCTGTTGCCCCAGGGTAAAAGGGCAGTGACACTGTTATGGTTAAGGAAAGAGAGCCAGTGTATGTCTGTGTCCTAAAAAAAGTTGAGTTTGAATCCTTCACTGCCCAACTCTGTTAATAGATAGGTGCAGGCCTATCTCTGAGTGACTCAAAATTTGATCCTTTGTAAGTGTATTTGCCTGTTTTTGTGTATTTTCTCATCCTCTGAAAACCAAAGTATTGTAATTAATTCAAGATAACTGGCTTAGAAAGGGGGAAAGAAAGGAGAAAAGTATGGGTGATAATTGATTGAAAAAAGTGATTCAGCAATTGTGTGTTGTTTGAGATCTGTATACATTTACATATGAATAAAATAATATCTCTGAAAGGAAGACTTTTTTGTATTTAAATAAGGCACATGCATGTCACAAGAGGCAGCACCTGCAGAAGAGGCATCCAGTCAAGTGAGCAGTAAGTGGCATTTATAAACATTGCTAGTGGCATGCTGAAAGTATTAACATTAAACTTGTTTCAGAAAATATGTTAACCTGCTAATGACTGCTTCCCTTTTATCCAAAAGTTACTCTTGTTTCTAAAGCTTCCACCTGTTGTTGTTGTTCTGTCCTTAAGTCCTATCGGAGGACCCCATGGATCAGAGCAAACCAGGGCCTCCTGTCTTCCACTGCCTCCCAGCGTTTGGTCAAATTCATGTTGGTAGCTTCGATGACACTGTTCAACCACCTCATCCTCTGTCATCCCTTTCTCCTCTTGCCTTCATATTTTCCAAACATCAGGGTCCTTTTCAGGGAGTCTTCTCTTCCCACCAGATGGCTGAAGTATTGGAGCCTCAGCTTCAGGATCTGTCCTTCCAGTGAGCACTGAGGGTTGATTTCCTTCAGAATGGATAGGTTTGTTCTCTTTGCAGTCCAGGAGACTCTCAAGTGTCTCCTCCAACACAATTCAGAAGCATCAATTCTTTGGCCATCAGCCTTCTTTATGGTCCAGCTCTCACTTCCATACATCACTACTGGAAAAACCATAGTTTTGAGTACGTGGACCTTTGTTGGCAAGGTGGTGTCTCTCCTTTTTAAGATGCTGTCTAGGTTTGTAATCGCTTTCCTCCCAAGAAACAGGTGTCTTTTAATTTTGTGGCTGCTGTCACCATCTGCAGTGATCATGGAGCCCAAGAAAGTAAAATCTGTCACTGCCTCCATATCTTCCCCTTCTATTTGCCAGGAGGTGATGGGACCAGTGGCCATGATCTTAGTTTTCTTGATGTTGAGCTTCAGACCATTTTTTGTGCTCTCCTCTTTCACCCTCATTAAGAGGTTCTTTAATTCCTCTTCACTTTCTGCCATCCGAGTGGTATCATCTGCATATCTGAGGTTATTGATATTTCTTCTGGCAATCTTAATTTTGGCTTGGGATTCATCCAATCCTGCCTTTTGCGTGATGTATTCTGCATATAAGTTAAATAAGCAGGGGAACAATATACAGCCTTTGTGATACTACTTTACCAATTTTGAACCAATCAGTCGTTCCATAACCAGTTCTAACTGTTGCTTCCTGTGCCACATAATTGATTTCTCAGGAGATAGAAAAGGTGATCAGACACTTTAAGAACTTGCCATAGTTTGCACCTGTACGCATTTGCAAATAATTAAATGGTAAGAGCCAGCTTCCCTGTTGTATGTGCACAGACCAAATTCAAGTTTTGTATTATCCTCTGAATTTAAACAAGAATCTCAGGAGTTTTCATGATTTTTGAGTAACTTGTGCATATATCAGAATATGTCACTAGTTTTCCCTGCCCGAGTTGTTTCCAGTGAAGGCGTGCAAATATCAGGTAGACGGGTAGAAGAAGGATCATACATATAAGCTGCCTCTATTCTTACTCCTCAGTCCTTTTGTTCATGTGTTGTCATGGAAACAGTGAATCAGTGCCCCAGAGAGGCCTAAAGCAGAAGAGTGGAAAGCACTAGTGACAGTCCGTGGGTGGAAAAGTGCATCTTCCTTCTCTTAACTACAAATAAAGAGAACCTGGTGGTGAAGACTGGACTTTATTATTTTATTCAAAATGTTTTAAGACCATATTTTAAGGCAGAGTGTTTTTTTCCTTTGGAACTCTTCCCAGAGGGTCACAGATCTTGAGCCTTTGTTTTCACCATATGCTGGCTTTTGTCTACTCACTGTGCTGCTCAATGTATCTCAGCATTTTTATTTTATTCAGAATTTACACATGAAAGGTCTTTTGAACTGAAGTCAAAGGGAATTAAGTTACAAGCAAGCACTGGTTAAAACAGAATCTGCACAGCTCTCTATTTCTGTTTCTTTTATAACATACTCTTGGCCAAGGTCTAACCATATACAACTTGTTGTTGTTTAGTCGTTAAGTTGTGTCCAACTCTTCATGACCCCATGGACCAGAGCACGCCAGGCCCTCCTGTCTTCCACTGCCTCCCAGAGTTTGGTCAAACTCATGTTGGTCGCTTCAATGACACTGTCCAACCATCTCATCCTCTATCATCCCCTTCTCTTCTTGCCTTAACACTTTCCCAACATCAGGGTCTTTTCCAGGGAGTCTTCTCTTCTCATGAGGTGGCCGAAGTATTGGACCCTTATGGTCCAGATCTCACTTCCATACATAGCTACTGGAAAAACCATAGTTTTGACTCTGCGGACCTTTGTCGGCAAGGTGATGTCTCTGCTTTTCAAGATGCTGTCTAGGTTTTTCATTGCTTTCCTCCCAAGAAACAGGCATCTTTTAATTTCATGGCTACTGTCACCATCTGCAGTGATCATGGAGCCCAAGAAAGTAAAATCTGTCACTGGGTGTAGAAGACAACAAACAAGCATCTAATAATGGTATGATTTTTAAAGCATTATCCTGATGTGCATATTTCAAAGTAAGGTTATGAATCACGGAACAAGGATCTTCTTTGGACTGCAGCTCAGGCTGCACCATATCAATCCAAAAAACACATTTTACCATTTCAAAACTACATCCCAATGTGATACTTTTATTAGCAAGACAAGCTGTAAGACAAGTTTTCATTATGACACTCTGGAAAGGTACAAAGAGATGTGTGAGCTTTCGAGGTTACTGTTGCTTCATTGTGCAAGAGTTTAAACAAGAAAGTGAGGAGGGATGTTGAAAGTGTGTGTGTGGGGGGAGGAGTATAACTTTTAAGTCCTTGTAGTCTGAATATTGTAATGTAATGGAAGAATTTGCGGAGAAATGAGGCTTTAGAATCTTTAGAAAGCTTCAAACTGAATGCATGGTACAGGACCAAACACTAGAGGGCAGGATTGCCTACCCCTAATTAGATAATTGTTTCAGTCTCTCTTTCGTGCTGACATATTCCTCATCTTTTCTATATTGGTGTTGCTTTTTTACACAGTAGATATACAAATGTCAACCCTGGAATAGAAAAGGTGGGGAGGGAGGCAGTGTGGGACAAGTGAGAATCCTTTTTGCAAGCAGTTTGCTAGCAAGATAGTTTTGGCTTGCTGCAGCATGGTTAGAAACACTGCACAACAATTCATGCCTTGATAGCATAACAACTTCCATACCTTGCTGTCTGTTGAAATGTATCAGCTAGGTAAGCATCTGGAAGTTACACACTTCATTGCTGGGGGAAATGTACAGGTACAGAAAGAATTCACACAAATTATTTTTAAAAACAACCTGTCTTCAAGCCAATTCTGTGTTGTTTGGAAGTGGGTGGGAGCTGTAGTCCAGCATGTATGGAAGGCACCAGGTCAGGAAAGGAAAATTTAAAGGACTGAGATGTAAATTGACAGGCTGAAGGGCTGTAGAACCATCTTCCTTATCACATACGTGGGCAAGCACCAGAACCAAGGTTCCTTCTAAGCTCTGCCTCCCTGCGCGCAGTTGTCTTCCTCCTCTGCGCAGTGCTAGCGTTGGGTCACGATGGAATCCAGCATGGGAAGGGGGTGGCCAGAGTCACATGCGCACACAGGAGCAAAGTCACGTGTGAGACAGGCGGAGCCACACCCAGCAGAGCTGAAAGTTAGAGGGTACGTTGATAAGAACAATGGGATCGGCCTGCTTTTTACTAGAAGCCCGAAGAACTGGGTGCAAAACAGTGTCTCACCTGAGTGCCCACACACTTAAGATGGAACAACAGGATGTCCCTATGCACACACTCAGCCAAAGGATTCGTGATCATTGGAAGAAATAAGCTCAGAAACCCTTTTGTCACTAAAAATTCTACTCTTGGCCAAAGTACATTCTAATCTAATCTAGGGAAAGGATAAAGAAACTCTTTATATCACTGCCACTGCTGAATCACAGTGAGGTTGAACCCCTTGCTGATACGGACTCTGTGGGAACCCATGAACATTTTGATTGGTCAATCAGAAGCTGCTGCAGCCAGTGGTGGGAAGTGACAGCCAGAGGCAAAGCACACCCACACCCACATGTGTTTCTTATGTTTGAGTGAGCAGTCCCCCCCCCATGTGATGAGTCTGGGAGTTCAATTGGGGAGAGCACAGGCTGGTGAGGAGCCAGGCAGAAGGGGCTGGTTGAAGATGGCTAATGCTGGATGTAGGACAGTGCCCCCATTTGCCTTACTGGACCCAGAGA